AGTTTATTAATTAATTAATTAATTTTTGCTGTGTCGGGTCTTCGTTTCTGTGCGAGGGCTTTCTCTAGTTGTGGCAAGCAGGGGCCACTCTTCATCGCGGTGCGCGGGCCTCTCACTATCGCGGCTTCTGTTGGAGCACAGGCTCCAGATGCGCAGGCTCAGTAGTTGTGGCTCACGGGCCTAGTTGCTCCGTGGCATGTGGGATCCTCCCAGACCAGGGCTCGAACCCGTGTCCCCTGCATTAGCAGGCAGATTCTTAACCACTGTGCCACCAGGGAAGCCCAAAACTCAGGTTTTTAAAGAAGGTTCAAATTGGGGCTTTAAAGAGGCCAAGAATATTATTTCAAAGCCATCCTCTCAGAATGTTAGCGCTATCAGCAGAAAAGAGTCAGTACACTGAGAAAATAAAGCTAAACCATCCACAGATGGCCAAATAGAATTTTCATTTTGGAAGATATTTTATTTCTGCTCTTTTCAAGTCTATCTAAATAAACCTGATGTCCCTGGAGGCAGGCTTGAGACTAATTAGTGAGGCTAAAACTGATCAACGGCAGAAGCCCCATCTCTGAAGTGCGAGGCATGCTGGAGAGAGTCTAGCAGATGAATCTCTCCTCTGAAGCCCCACAGAAAGGTGTGCCATCTTCTGCCCATCTGAGAGTCAGACCAAGGTGGGGCTGTCACCTGTGTAGACAGAGTTAGGACAGCCTTTCTACACACCTTCCATGGCTACTTGGATCAAAAAGCACGACAGGTGAATCTGTAATTTACCTTTAAGCTCCTTTATGATTCTCTCCCACTCAAGATGCACATGATCCTGGGATGAACATCCGTGAATTCCCCCTGCAATCCCCACCTGGTTTTTCTGGGATGCTGGCCACACTGTGAGAAGCCTTACAGAAAATGAGTTGGCACTATTTGTTATCCCATATGGGCAAAAGCTTTGTTCTTTCTATGTTTATTTTGGCTCTTTCTAGAAGCCAGAATAGAGCATGTAATAGGACCAATTTTACTTTTCTTCCTCTGAAAAAAGTTGCTTCTTACAACATGTGAGAGACCAGCATCATGGTTCCCTTTGAGTTTTCCTAGGTTTAAACAAATGGAATAAATCTGGGTTTGAGTCACTTGAACCTGAGTTCCAGTCCTGGCTGCTTCTATGACTAGCTGGTACATCCTAGAAACATCACTGACCCCTCAGAGCACGAGCTCCCTTATCTGTAAAATGTGGGTGGCATCACCTGTCACCCAGAGTTGGGAATATTATAAGAGCAAAAGCATGACAAGTGTTGCTTAGCCTGGGCCTGCCCACAGCAGGTGCTCCAAGGAGCTGGTTCCTCCCTTAGGAGTGAAGACAGTCCCGGGCATCAATGCTGTAAAACTCCCCCAAACACTGTGTTGTTATCCCCACCACACCTCTTTCACAGTCTCTGTCAGGCGCTCTTCCTCTGAGGCCAAGCACTTGAGTTCAGCCCTTTGCTGGATGGCCTCTAGGATCAACCTGTGATGCCTCAGGATGGTTTCGAAGGCAGCACTTTCTGGGGTCATCACTGAACAAAGAGGGATTGAAAACTCATTAGTAAAACTATGAGCACCATTTTTCCCTTTCATCTTTTCTCAACTCAGTTCTTCATAATGAGAATATACTTCATCTATCTCCCACCTGGAGGTGGGAGTGAAGAAGATGGCAAACATCACTGTAATCAGAGTATAATTAATATAAGCTTAGAAGAATTGCTGCACATTTTACTTTGAAAGGTTTACAAACTCCCATGTCCTTGAACAAAATTGCCAGTCCTTACTTCTACTGGTCAGGATGTGGAAGACTACCGTAAGAGAGCTGTTTCCTGCAAAGACTGACCATAATCTCTGGTGGGGGCAAAGCCAGCACAGAGGCCAGGCAACCTACCTGCCCGGAAGTAAGCGTCTGCGCCAGGCTCCCTTCGTATTTCCTCCGTGAGCAGGTTCAATGGGCAGGCCTTTGTCTCCTGAGCCACCAGCAGCAGTTGCCAAATGGCTGCTGCAGAGAGAGTCTGCTCTTCTAGAACTGCTGACATCAGAGAACTGAAACCACCTGAACCAGAGTCACGTTTCACAAGCTTCTCCATGACCTTCAAGATGCGGCACAAACATACACATAAGGGACTTTCTAGCCACTGGCCCAGCTGCAGAGCTGCAAGTCTGAGCACTGGGTCGTAGTGAACGTATTTCTGGGGAGGAGTTTTTCAACATCCTTCACTTCTTTCAACCTGAGAGATGTTTATACACGAGAAGGTTCTTCATTCCTCCTTTTGAATGCTTTTCCTTATCACTGCAGAAATTACAACTATCCTACTTGTCACTCTTAGAAATTGAATCACCTACTATCTCCTTCTCTGCTGACCCCTTAGCATTTCTCAACATGGCTGCATGTGTGTATGTTTATATAAAATAGAAATACATTAAAAATATATATATGTTAATCTTTTTTCCTTCTTTCTCAATTTTGCCCACCCTTCCTCCCTCTCTCTCTTACCTCTCTTTCTCCAGGGGCTAAACTCTTCACATGTGGGATCATTTTTTGTAACATCTGGTTGTCTGTGAAAATCTCTGAGAGGTTTTCGTGATACCGCCTCAATAGTTCAATCCCATAATCATCAGGGCTTGCTTGGACTGTAAGGATATTAGCAAAACAACAACAACAAAACCTCCTTAAGGCCTCTTCTACACGACATGAGGGGAGTTACAAATGCGGACAGAAGAACAGATCAGCACAGCAGCTCTGTCTCTTCTGGAGCATAAGTGCAGCTCGTGGCTTGGGGCCTCACACACGTATGCTCACGTCTCCTCTGGTCTACACTTAATCACTCAGTGTTGCAGGGTCACCAAACCACCAATACTTTGAAAGTTAGCGCCCAGTGGTAGAAGCTAGTGAGTGCTCAACCAGGGGGTAATTAGAAGGCTGCACTTGTAAGAGGTGCAGATGCAGAGATTCAAGGGATATTATCTACCAGGCCTGAGGTAAAGGATCCATGCAGCGATCCAAAGTACAGGCAGGCATAAGTCAGGACGGCGGTAGCAAAGCTGACCCATTGTTCTTCTGTTTATATGCCCTCTCAGCCAATCTGTTAGTTACTCTTTTAAGAAAGGTTATATTTATTTGAAAGTAAAGAAAAATCAAAACTATCAGGCATTCCCATTAGCTTTGTAGATATTTAAAAATTTATTTTCCTCTCTGGCCCAGTAACTCCACTTCTGGGAATCTAGCCTTAAGAAATGATCTGAAGGCAAAAAAAAAACCTGTGTACAAAGATATTTGCCACTGAGAAGCTTGTGGTGATGATGATAACAACTAATATTTACTGAGTGCGTATTATATTATGTGCTGAGCACTGTGCTCCATGTTTACATATATTATCTCAAAGTAGCCACAAAAATGAAGGTGGAAGGTACCATTCTTACCACCATCTCACAGGGGAGACAATGAGGTTCAGAAGGGTTAAGTCACTTACTCAGGGTCACAGAGCTACCAAAGAAGTCAGGATGTAAATCCCAGTAATCTTGATAGTCTTAACCATTATGCTACATGTGCCCCTAGACATGGGCATGAGTAAGACAGCATAAGTATACTTATGATAGAAACTACACAGCCTTAAAAAAATAGAATTCTAGGAAGTGTTCTGAAATGTGGAGGAGAATGTTTATGTTATATTGATAAGTGGGGGAAATGGTAAAATATGGTAGAGTATCTCAACATTGTAAAAATAATGTGATAGATAAAATATGTCAATGTGTTTAATACTGAAATTATCACGTGGTGGGATTTGAGGTTTTCTTCTTTATTTTTTAAACTGTTCAAGTTTGTATAAGTATATATTATTCTTACAAGCTAGTTAGAAAGTTCTCTCATTTCCCAAATAGCCTTCTTCTGAAAACCATTTCATTCTCAAACGTTCTGGGACGGGGGATGATTGGCTAGAGTTGGGTTGTTTTTCAAAGGGATAGTCCCAAACTGGCTGGACACGAGGGGTGGTTAATTCTGGGCACTGCTGGGACCGAACAGCACTCCGGTGGGAGTGGGGACGTCAGGACCTGAGTTCCTGCTGCTCACACGTGTGAGCGCTGTGAGTCCATCTGCTCCACAGGCGTTCACAGGTGGCACGTGACAGCCCCAGGAAAGCCACACTTTTAGACCCTGAACCACGGGAACATCACGGGGGAGCTTAACGGAGAAGAAATTCTTAGATTTCCGATCCTAACTCCAGAGATATCGAGAATCACTGATTTGTGACAGCTAGTTTCTCTTTCACAATGGCTTTTCTTAACATTGTCTTATCTCCCCCGCCAGCAAGGAGCCAAAAGGGTGTTTTAAGCTATAATTTTCTGTAGGAGTGGTTCCAGTTCAGAGAGTCAATAATTAACTAATACCTGTGGTGCTTGGCAAAGCAGCTAATTTCTGCAAATTCTCCAGCAGAAGGCCCAAGTTTGGGAATGTCATCTTCACAGCCTGAAGGAGTTTTACCAAACTCTCAGCGCTCAGGGTCTTCTCTTCAGTCATTCTGTGCAACAAATTTTCTATTGTCTCCTTGGGTGTTCCACCCTCACAGCAATTCAGAATCACCTGCAGTGGCAAGCAATCAACCCGACACCAGTTACTGGAAATTCTAAGTGCATTTGACACACGACTGGAAAGACCAGCAAGACAGCATTACAAACCGCCCCGACTCCAGGTCCTCTTCTGCTTGTCTCTAGCGCTAGTTTTGTCATAGTCTCTTCCTTATTCTGTTTCAATAAAAATCCAAAACATTCTCCAAACAAACAGCTCCATGAAAATCTTTCTTTCTCAATTGCGGGTCTGTGCATATTCTTTGCCTCTGACAGTTTGCGTTTTGTGAAAATATTCTTACGCTAGGCCTATATGATAGAGCAAGCAGCTTACATCTAAGCTTTAGATTGAGTTTGTTCAGACACTAAGATTGCAAAACTGACTGGCAATTAATAAATACAGTTACAGTGTTTTTCATCTCTGTTCAGTCAAGTACATGACAGTGGCAGAGGCTGCAAGTTCAGAGCAATTCTATTACTTTACTTCCTTTTACTTTATTTGCATTGCAATTTGAATACCCAGATACTTCATACATTGTCTGTGGCCTCCAAAATAATAGATTTAAAGTGCACTTCAGGATAATTTTTCTAGCAGATTCCTCATTATCTAGCCCTCTCCTCCCCAGTGGCCACATGCACCAGCTCCAGTTATCATCCCACAGTTCTACCCACTTGTTCTTCCCTGGTATGCTAGAGGGTTTTCTGAGTCAAGAGGGCACAGGCCTCCAGCAAAAGGTTGAAAAATCAAACACCTGACAGTTATTTTAAAGATATTTTCCAATCACAATAGAACTAGCCTTAATGGACTGCAATTAAATATGTACAACTCAGCTCTTGTGGATAATGCAGGGGATTATTTCAATACATGTAATCTACAGTAACTGAATTTTGAACTTTCCTTTGGGAAGATGCCAGCTCTCCGGAGCAAGAGTCAAGCAGATGGTCACGGTAGCATGCCAGAGGACGCTATTATCAAATTACTTCTGTTTTAAAATAATAAATTTAGCTATAAAGCCAAATTGGTTTTATATATGTAAAAGAAATATCTATATTACATATATGAAAGGCATGTGTATATTATAAATTAAGTTGTCACATACCTTGTCCATACAGAACATAGTCTTTCTCTTTGTTTAAGGTCTAATATATATTAGATTTCTACTAAATGAGCTAAAATTTAAAACTTAAGGGCTTGTATCTAAAAATAATACTGATTTTTGTGCTATCTCTTAGCTCGTAAACAATAACCTGATACAAAACGAGGCAGCCAGATACTGTAAAGAGTGGGTATGAACTTTAAAGCCGGACAGGCCTAGTTTGAAATCCAGTTCTAAAATGTATGGCCTGTGTGACCTTGGGCAAGTTATTTAAGTCTTTAAACCTTATTCTTCTCATCTGCAAAAGAAGATAACAATACCAACTCTTGCACTGTCAGTATGACAATTCTCTAAAATGAAGTTGCCATTTGTAGAGCCGAGCAAAACTCCTAGGACATATGTGATTGTTAATAAATGATAGTGGTTATTGATATCATTAGGAAGCAGGATGCACAGTGGGTAAGAGATGTGCTTTGTTTAGAAGTCTGGGTTCCAATGCTGGCCCCAAGCAGCTGTGCCTCTGGGTACGCTGCTTACCATTCTTAGCTTCTGTTTCTTCATCTTTAAAGTTAGGGTATTAACCATAACTTCATAAAGTTGCTGCGGGGGTAGAATTTAGTAATGCTTTAAAGGTCCTCAGTACATTACTTGGCACACAGTAAACAATAAATAAATAAATAAATGGCAGCTATAGCAATTACTATTCTTGTATCTGTTTCCAATCCTGAAGTGAAAAAATGCCTATTTACCCCCAGAACCCAAGGTATGTTTACAGAAGGGCCATGGTACCTATGATTAGCATCATTCCATAAGAGAGAAAAAGTTCCAAAAGGCCTGAGAGTATGTTCCACATGGTGTAAAAACCCTGTGCCTATGCGATCAACATTCACCTCTACACTCCTGCTTTATTATTTTGCTTCAATTTTCATGAGAAAGAGTAGCCTAATGAAGCTCTGGTGGAACCCCAATCCTAAGAAGTGTTTTTGTGATTTACAACTAATTTAAGTTCTTCTGCTTCAGCCCTTTCTGTCAAGTAAACTGAAAGTGACAGAAGAAAATGACAGCATGGTCTGCCTGGCTGCAGGGAATGGGGCTGAGCTTGGGCTCTACCTATAAATGCTATTTTATCAAGATAATGAAACAGTTCAAAGGACACATTCAATCTAGCTAATAAGGAAAAAGTTTGAATGAGTAACTGAATGAAATCGCTAAACGAGGAATGAGATATTTCTAGAGCTATAAGCAACTTACTTAAACTGAGTGCCTGAAATTAAACTTAATCTGAAGTCTAAGGAGAAAACAGGGGTTTAATCTTATTCTGTTCATATATTATCTTTCTCAAGAAGTGCAAAGGAGTTAAACTTTTAAAAACATAATTTGCAAAATACAATTTTGAGATTAAAGGTTTTCCCATTTTATATGAAAAAAAGAGCAATATAAGATCGAGAAGAAGAAAATCTAGGATCCAGTCCTCACTATCAATCCAGTACGCAGCCATCACACCAGTGGTTTCTACACATTTTCTCTCCTGAACATTTAAGCCACTTCCCACAGTTTGATACCACAAAAGTTCTCTGTCCCTATTCCTTCCTTCCAGATATAAAAATATTTTTAGCACAAAGTTGAAATCAATAACACCAACAAATACAGTTATCTAGTTGATTTGAGAAGTCATGCCAGCAGTTTTATGAGGATTTTAGCAGCTGGCTGGTGGGAGTGTAAATTGGTACAACCTTCCTGAAGGGCAATTTGGCAATATATATCAAACACTTGAAAAATTTTACTCTCTATTCCAAAATCTCACTTCTTAGAAATTATCCTGAGAAAATAATCTGAGAAGTATGCAACAATTTGTGTGTAAAATGTTCCCCTGTAACATTATTTATAATAGCAAAATATTGAATAGCAAAAACTAAGAAACAAATGCCCCAAAATAATTAATGAATTATGGTATATCCATTAGACAATACAATGCAGCTACCAAAATCCTTATGTAGGTATGGAAATATATTCACAATATATTCAATTAAAAAATAAAGTTACAAAGCTATATGATAATCCCATCCCAGGATGATTCAAATGAGAAAAAGTGGGAGCACATGTTCCAAAATGTTAGTAGTGATCATCTCTGGGTGGTGAGATGGTGGAAGATTTGGACTTTTTTCTTTCTGCTTGTTTTCCCAATTTTCTAAAGATGAACAGTGTATCATTTCTGTAAAAAGTGTCATAACAATTAGAAATGTGCCTAAACGCTTTAACTCTTGGGGCAAATGTTTTATATCAAAATCCCACGGAGTCAGAGCAGGAATATCCATCCATCCATGCATCTAAAGATGTAATGTCTGACTATAGTATGCAAGGCACTCAGCAAGCTGGTGCAGGGGATACACGGAGGTATAAAGCAGGAACCTGAGCTTCAAGGTGCTTACTATGTAGTATGTGAAGAAATACTGCAAGGTAAAAAGTGCTCGGTGTCACAAAAGAGGTTTAAAACAAAGTGCTGCAGAAAGGAGGAAGAGATACTCGACAGTTACCCTTTTCTCAGAGCCAGTCAGGAATTCCTCCTCGCCCGTTTCCAGGAACTCCAAAATAGGTCTCAGCTGTGTTACACACCGGATCAGGTCCTCTTTGTGTTCTAGTAACAGAACAGACAAGGTCTTTCCCTCCTCTGTGCTCCCTGGGGGAGAAAGAGCTAGAGACGAACAAGAGAAGCTCGTCAATTTGAAGAAAATGACAGCATGGTTTGTCAAGAGAGATCTAACAGAATAGTAAAGTGATTCTCAGCCAATTCTGAGCACCCGAATGCAGAATCTCTTTTTGGAGAGGAAAATGCTTTATTATTCTGTTTAAACTCTATGAAAGGAAAAATGTTTCATGTATCTGTCGAAACACAAAGCTGTAAAGCCAGCCAGAGGTTAACCTCTGGTTGGCAAGGCCACTGCTTTGTATCTAACCCAAACGAGAGAAACTTCAGCCTTTAAGTGCTATCAGCAAACCAGTTCACCGTGGGCACTCAAAACACTGATTTGGATGTGTGGCTTTCTGAAGGGCAGGAGAACACTGATGGTATTCTCCAACTCCAAGGTGTCAGATTAGTTAACTAGGGGGTAGAAATGAAGACTCAAATTCAGTTTGTATATATTAACATGCAGTCTCTGGAACTACAGGTAGAATTTATGTGAAAATCACTTTAACAATAACTAAGCCATTGAAGAAATGTATCACTGGAGCAAGCTTTACAGCATCTTCCCAGAATAAAATTCAGTCACTCAGGTGGATAAGGTTTCTCGTACCTTTTGGCTGCACTGCTTCTACAGCCTCTGGCTGTCTGTCTAACAGTGTTGTTTTTACCGCAGGATTAGAATCTTGGAACAGCCTCAACAGGGACACAACAGTCTGAACATCCAGGCTCTCACTTCTTACTTTATCCAGGATTCTCTGGAATGCTGACTGTCCTTCTTCACCCACAAGACATCCCATTATGGTCTGTAGAACACAAGTGCCCAGAAAGACAGATTAGCCAGCCACAAGAACTCCATGCTCCTTGGATTTGGCAAGTGGGCCCTCAACAGTTTGATCCCCACCTACTTGACCTTTCTATGGCATTTGACGGTACTATCACCTCTGCAGCACAATTCTCCTCTGACTTCTTGACACTGAAGCATTTTGGGTAAGAACTCACCTTTCTGACTACTCTTTTTCTGCCTTCCTCACTGGCTCTTCTTCCAAATCCATAAGCAAAAGCAGTACCTAAGACTGGTTTCAACTCTTTATTTTTTCTCACTTTATATACTCTCCTTTTGAAAAGCTCTCACACATATAGCTTTAACTATCACCTTTATGAAGACAACCCTGAAAACCAGTGCACTAATCTTGAACTCTGTCTCAATCCAGAGCCACAGTGTCTGTTAGATGTGCCTTATCCTCCAGGGGTCTCAGCACCATATGCCTAAAACCCAACTCCCTTCATGACTTTTCAAAACCTAGAGCATTAAAATATCAACAACTCCAGGGGTAAAATAAACAACATTAGCATTCCTTTCTTCGGTCTGACAGAGCATCTCTCACACAAATGGGAGGAATGCCAACTGGAAGGCAGAATTAATATCTCTATTTCAGCAATAATGAAAAATCTGGTAATTGAAACTTAATTTCATGAGTATAGTCTTATGTATAATCTTTATATTTCTACTTGGCAAAACTACAACTTACCTCTGATGTTTTTTAGTGTCGATACTATAAAAAATATTTTCTCATGAGAGTCTTTAGAGAGCAAAAAGGTTTTCTAGACACACACATGCACACACAGCCACATACACAACACAAAAGGATCTCTTGAACATGTACACTGGCAAAGTTCACCTAGACAGTTATTATATATTCTGACAGTAATTATATGTTTAAAATTGTTGTTTAGAGGGACTTTATCTCCTTCTCTCCTTCCAAATAAACAGGATTATAAATGAGTTAGACTTTGTATTTCTTGAGTTTGTTCTAGCTTGGTTCCTGATCAGAGAGCTAAGTTAACTTAAAAAAAAGGTTCCTATGAATTTTGGTCATCTCCAAAAGTAAACATAGATTAAACACAATTTAATAATCCTTATTAAGTTTTTATTGGAATAAGTAACTTCCATGAACATAAGATAAACTCATTTTGTCTCTATTTTAAAAATAATAAACAAATGAGATTAAAATGTAAGTTGAATGCTTAATTCTCTTTGGTCTCATTTATTCATCCTTTCTTGCTTTTATTAGTTGGCCTAAAATCTCTTCAGAATGCCTCTTCCCTGACAGCAGTAGGGACCTGAGTAGGCAGCCTGGGGTTCCCAGTATGCCTCCAGGTTTTCATGCCCTTGAGCTGAACCTAATGACTTGCTTCTAAGGAAAAGAATATGGCAAAAGTAATGGGACACCACTTGTGAGGCTAGGTTACTGTGACTTCCATCTTGCCCATGTGTGGACTCCCTCAGTGTCTTTCCTCTATGGGATGCAAGCTGCCATGTTGAGAGGTACCCTACAGAGAGGCCCATGTGGCAAGAAACTCACATCCCCGGTCAACAGTCAGTGAGTGAGCTTAGAAAGAGACACTCCCCAGCTGAGCATAGACATGTCTGCAGCCCAGGCTGACACCCTGAGTACAGCCCTGTGACAGACCCTGAGCCAGGGACTCAGGTAAGCTATGCCTGGATTTCTGACCCACAGAAACTGTGAGGTCATAAACGTTTGTTCTTTTAAGCTGCTAAATTTCAAGACTAATTTGTTCAACACAGGAGTAGGTATCTTATAAAGACCCACTATTGCTAATGCCCTTAGTTTTAAACCTGTTTCTTCCTCTTTATTCTCCATTTCTATCCTCCCTCCCTCCCTCCCTCTTGTGCACTTAACTGATACAACATACAGCTATCTCATTCTATCCTAGGCCAGTTTTCTTCCCCCCCAAGCTCTCTGAATAACCCAGATCCACCTCTCTCAGTATCCAATTTGTCTGGCATTATCATTTGAGCCAGTGGGGAAGAGAAGCTTTCATCAATGGTGGCATCTGATGCGCTTCTCATTATCCCCTCTGCTGTTTCCTCCTCTGCAGAACTGCTCAGCAGTGAAATTAAAACATTTGTTAACTTCATTGCTCAGCAGTGACACCAGGGTGACCATCTGGGAAGAGAAGCGGGGGTAGGCTGATGAAAGGGCCAGAAGGGAGCAGACAGCTGCCTGGAAAGCCCTGCTCTCTGCTCTTTCTTCCAGTACCTACTGGGGACCTGCACCAGAGCCAGTGCTGTAGCTTACTCTACCAGCCCCCTAAGCTGCCTGGGGTTCCACAGTGGAGTGAGCCCTTTTCTGAAATAGGGGATCTGACTAAACAGAAGGGTGTCACATATTGCAACAGGCTGGAATTCACTGATTGCTATCACATAACAGAACTCTAAGAAATGGACCAAAACAGAGTTTTATTCTTTAACCAGACATTTGGAACTCCTTTGATTCTTAGAGTTAAAGGTACTTCAATAAATTTGTATCAATTCACGGTCACAGAAGTACTCAAAGTACTTTTATCTATGAGTGAAATATAGGTCAATATATTTAAAGATGGGACAGTTTTCTTTCCCTCTGTTATATGTGAAAAAACCATTTAATCTTTCCCTTACACTCAGATCTTTTAATTGAATTTACTTATTTTCCCAACCATTTGCCTACTGCCTTCGGATTTGTCTTTGTTACACTATATTCTTGTTCGCTCATGCCTTCCTGAATGCTGAGGGCCAGGCAATGGCAATAATGAGACAGACCACAACAGCTCAATACCATCCCAGATACCGTGCATACTTGCCATCTACTTTACTACTTACATCAGATCCTGGAGGCATTACTACGACTACTTAAAGGAGAGTCAGAGAGGTGAAGTAACTTGCCCAAGTTTGCATGGCTAGTGAGCAGAATACCCTGATGAAACACTGAGCTCATTCCAATGATCTGGCACACCTTTCACCCAGTTCCATCTCCCAAACTTCGAGTGTAACCAAATCCATTTCACTGGATTTTATTGGACTTACTAGAATCAACATCACTTGAACACTGGGTAGCATCTAGACAATCTGTACCATTCCTCCTGGTCTCACTGATTAGTGAAGAGACTGGTATACAGTAGGTGCTTAATAAATGTTTGTTTAACTGAATGAAATTCCCTTCCCATAAGACCACTAGCCCTTCTAGCTATAGCTGCATATCTTAGATTTAATAATTAGCAGAGAGGAGATCTGAAAAAAACAACTTAAGTTCATCTCTCATAGACCTGTAAAGTGAACCCTATCCACTCACTTCTCAAGAAGGTTACCCTATACTGTGTCAGTGAACACAGTCCACAAAACATAGACCTACAGGTCTTGACAAACCTCTGAAGTAGTAACACAGATGAAAACATCAGATTCACATAAGAGCCTTCACTGTTGTTTGCCTTTGAAACAAAGTTGAAGGAAAAAAGGATGCTACCAGGTCTTCAGCTTTGGGAGTCTTTCTAGAACTTTAGGTGAAAAGTGGATCAAACAGCAAGGAAATCAATAGTAGAAAAAGTTATCTCCTTACTCTAGTCAAACACTCACCTTGCTATCTACACAATTAATTAAAAGCAGGGACACGGCTAGGAATAAAGCAAGTAGACAATTAAAAGTTCTAGCATAAAAGGTGAAAAAAAGTATAAGTTTGCCTTTAAATACAGGTTTTACTCAGCTCAGCCAGAAAGCCTCTTAGGTCAGTATCAGCTTTTTCTAATGGTAAGAGATACTACACTGAGATAGAGACAAGGGGAAGCCACTTTCCCATCCTGGCACCCAAGAGATTTCTCCTTAATCAGTTTTGGCTTTGGTTTCAGGCAATTCAAGCTGCCCAGGTTCTTCTCATATGCTGCAATCACTGCTCAGGGAATGGCTTTGCCACCTTTCATCATTTATCTCAGGAAATAAAATAATCAGGACACTGGTTCATGATGTCCTCCCTTAACACAATCCAGGTCAGGTACATACCTCATATCTGTTTTTAAGAAAAGGAACAGGCTGGTCCATCTCAATCAGAACATCACTCACAAGCCTTAACAGGCCTCAAAATTACACACCTAAGTGTAGATTATAGTTAACGTTGAGCCATCTTTTTAATTTATGATGATGAACCAAATAACAGCCAACAACAACAAAAAACATTCAAAGCTCTCTGGGAGCTAAAGATGTATAAACAGAACAGTGACAAACAAAACCCCCAAACAACCTTTACAACTGTAGCTGAAATGCAGAATGATGTTCCAAGTGAACAGTTCTAATAAATACATTCGACACTGAAGTCTTTTGGGGATTCCTGTAGTTGGGTGACTTCTGTATACACTTCCCAAAAAATTACATACGTGGCAGGATTTCTTTGCTGTCAAGACATTCTATAAGGATAGGGATCCAGTCTTATTTATGTTTATTTTCCTAGCAACCAGCTCAATGCCTGGCACATAGCAGTTGCTCAGTAAATATTTGCTGAATCAAGGAGAAAGCAAAGAACAACACTTGGGAAATGCGTATTCAGCAGCTACTCAAAACACTGAGAGCTGTCAGCATAGACACTGTGACATCTGCCATCATACATTAAGAATTTTGTTAAGCCATTAACTTCTCCAGCAATGCTTCTCAAAATGTAGTCTAGAGATACCAAAAAAGCAGTCCATGGGGAACTTGTTAAAGATGGAGATTCCCAAGCTCTACCACAACGTAAGAATCAGACTCTGGAAATGCGGTCTGGAAGTGTACATTTTAACAAATCCACCATTTTAACAAGTGCATCATTTTTATATATACTGAACTGCTGTTCTAGAGACTGATGGCTTTGTATGAGACACTACACCTGCAGTTCAGGAAGCTACTTCCAAGGGTAATGGTATCTATCTGAAAGCATGACTTAAGCAAACTAAGCTTAAAACATCAACAGCAAACCATCTCATGTGAGAGTAAGTGACCACG